TCAGCATGGCATGCCCACATCAGAGAAGGTACTGTGCTCTATGAGCAAAGCAGAATTGAAGTAGCTCAAGAGAAACATGAGATGTGCAAATTTAGAGAATCCACCCCAAATGTTCACATGGGCTATTTGTGCCTGCCCTGTGGTAGAGCATTCAGAGCTTGTATTGGTCTGATCAGCCACAGTCGGATACACTGAAGCTTGACTCTAGCATGTGGTGCCATTTTGGTCCTGTTTGAGAATGAAGGACAACAACCAACCATTTAGAATGGGTATACAAAGGCATTGTGCTAGGTGCTGCAGATACAAATAAGAAAAAGAAAATGCCTGTCCTCAAGAACCTTCAATCAAATGGAATAAGACAGAACACAAAAGGATGCTGAAAATGGGAGAAGGGAGGAGGCCATTAAAGGGGTACCCTGCAAGGGAGCATGATGTTTTATAGAGTGCAAATCAAGTAGAGTCACTGATGAAAAATAGAGAGTTACCCAGAAAGTTTGGAGCCCTCTGTAAAGGAAGCCTTTGGAAGGAGTTTATTGCTCTACTCTTCAGTCCTCCCTCTACTCAGGCAACTGAAGGAGTTGAGAAGGTGTTGAATATCTAAAGCTAAGTTAGTCTGCATGGAGATAAGATTTCAGGTGATCAGCTTCATCTTGGGGGAGGCATGATGTTTCCTGGAGTCCAAAACCAAGCAAAACCACAGGTGGAAAATGGAGAAACATCAAATGTCACCCTTGTGAACCCTTGTTAGAAGCAAAATCTTGGAGTAGGTAGCCCATAGATCTGATTCAGGAAGGCATTTTTGATGGTGTTGTTAGGTGGCAGCTAGGAAATAGCTGGTGTGGAGGCATGATGAAATTCAAAGAAGTCCAAAAGCAGCGTAGCTGGTGGTAGACAATATAAAAATAAAACCCTCTTGTTTAAAAAAAAAAGTCTCTCAGTGGAAACAGCAGTAGGGAGCAGGGGCAGCATCAAAAATACCAAGGCCACAGCAGTAACGACACAGACTCCAACATAGATTTTATGGAGGGTCTTGACCTAAGCCTTGAAGAAAGTATAAAATTTAGGTTTGTGCAGTTGAAGTTAATTTAAGTGACTTGTGCATAGTCACACAACTGGCAAGTGGCAGAGGCAGGATTCAAACCTAGGTTTCTCCTAATTTAGTTTCTAGCACTCCTTTCGAGACAGGAAAAATAGAATAAGCAAAGAGATGGAGGAGAAGATTATAGTATATTGAAAGATTGTGAGAGGGATAGTAAGAACAGTCTGACTTGAATAAAAAGGTCTAGGAGTGGGGAATATCAAGAGAAGAAAAAGAATTTATGCAATAGGTACCTTAAACAGGGGGAATGACAAGATGCAGTCTTTAAATCCAACAGTGACATGCCAAATGGACCAGAGTAGAGGGAGGTAGATTGGTGGCAGATAATTTAGGGTGCTGCGATAATCTAGGTTGAGTTTAAGTGAGACTGTACATAGGTATGGTTCACAATCAGTATAGATTATTTCGTGAGACATTTCAAATGAACTAATATGACTTAGTGATCATAGACCAGGAGTGGGGAACCTGCAGCCTCAAGACCACATGTGGTTTTCTAGGTGCTTGGGTGCAGCCTTTTGACTGAGTCCAAGTTTTACAGAACAAATCCTTTTATTAAGTGGATTTGTTCTGTGAAGTTTGGATTGACTTGAGGACCTAGAGGGCCACAGGATCCCACCTCTGCGACATAGACAGTCAAGGAGATGTTAAGAAACTTGATTTCAGGATGGAGAAGAAACCTGAAGAATGGTGGTAACTGAGAAAAATGGGTAAGTTGACTTAGTTTATGAGTTATAGTTTATGAGAAAAATGAGTGATTTTAATGATAATAAGTATGAGGTGTTGGTAGGATCCTGGAGAAGTTCTATAACTTATAAATTGAAATGAAGTTATAAAGAAGATGAGCAAATCCTGGAGATAGGGATTTGAGCGTCGTTGACAGTAGAAGTCGTGGTTGCAGTCATAAAACATATGAATTCTCTGTAGGATTAAGCATAGATATAATTAATAAATGCAAAAGCATTTATTAAGTGCTTACAATGTTTATGAAGTACTGTGCAAAGTGTTGGGGTTATGATTGGAAAAGCAAGATAGTCAAGGAGCTCATGTTCTAATAGAGATAACATATATATTAAAATTAAGCTGTGGGGCAGGTGGAAAGGCCCAGTGGTCCTTATGCAAGGCAAATGATGATGCATCTTTTTTTTTAAGTGTCATTTCTATTGATAAAACCATAATGTTGGTCCGTTTACCAGTTCCAAGGACTTCAAGAAGAATAATAATGCCTGAGGTTGTTGAGGAGGGAGCAACTGCAGCACCTGCAGAGTGGCAGTTGTCCAGTTTTGTCTTGATAAAAATTGCTGGCTGCTGGGCCAAACTGGAAGTAGGGTTGGTGGCCTAGGAGGTATTGCTGGGATTTGCTAGGAGGTTTCCTGGGATTTGGGGACATAGGGTCTGTGGACTGCACAAGGAGATGTGTGGTAGTAGTGGTTCCTGCCAGAAACATTCCACCTCCTGTTTTTCTTATGGCCTTGTTTCTTCAGCTGAGCTAGGTTAGAGGAAAGAGCAGCAGAAGATAGAGGACTACATCTTTCAAGATACCCACATTTAGGAGGCAGAAGGAAGACTATTTTATAGTTTATTTATAGTTTACTGTTGAAGAAAAAAATTATATTCTCATTATCTGTCTTTACCAGATAGTGTTTATAGCAAAACTTTCATTAATTGACACTCAGCCAGAATTATTTTGACACTTTATCATAAAAAAAGCAAATCTTAGGAAATAAACTCAAATCAAGAATTTAGTGTTTAGTAATCATAAAAGTATGTTGTGGGTGATGCCTTGAGGTAGGCACAAATTTTACTTACTTTCCCATACAGTAGAAATGTATAGGAGACTATAGTTGTATCTTCAGTCCTAGACAATTATGTTAGTAATAGCTAGCCTTTATGTAGAGGCTTTAAGGTTTTCAAAGTACCTTACAGATATTATTTGTTTTGATCCTCACAACAGTCCTATGAAGTATTATTAAGTACTACAGAAAGAGAATTTCTTGTCACCCAAGAAGTTATAACAAACCTATGTATATGTATATGTGTGTGTGTGTGTGTATTTAGAATTATGTAGTGCTGCATTTTTAAAAATATTTAATAAGTTGTGGTAGTGACATTGCATTTCCACAATACTTAAAGTAAGCTGCATTCCCTGTAGGTATGTTCTTGCAAATCAGAAAAGTTTAGAGTACGAGTACATTTGCATTGTTCTTGTTTCTTGAATGCCATATGTATCTTTAAATGAAATTTATCAACACTTTATAATCTGGCTTCCAGTCTCATCACTCAGGTGAAATTGCCCAGTATTACTTATGATTTTAATTGCTGAATCTGGTGGTCTTTTCTCAGTCATTCTTGATTTTTCTGTTGCATTTGACGCTATTGACCACTCTCTCTTTCTGGATAGTCCCTCTTTTCTGAAGTGTTTGTGATGCTACCTCTTTCCAGGTTATCCTCCTACATGACTGACCTCTTGTTATTCTCTTTTGCTGGCTCATCAGTATCATACCACCTAACTCTGGGTGCATTCCAAGGCTCTTCCTGAACCTTTTTCTCTTCTCTCTGTACTCTCACTTGGTGACCTCATCAGATCCCATGGATTTAGTTATCTGTGTGCAGGTGACTAACAGATCCATACGTCCAACCCCAGTCCACTGAGCTGCAATCCAATATCACTAGCTACCTATTGAACATTTCAAACTATATGCCTTGTAGACATCTTATTATATACATATGTATATGTGTATGTATAACAACTCCTCTTTTACCCAAAACTCACCCCACTTATGAATTTTTTGTCAAGAGTATCACCATCATTCCACTGTCCCAGGTTGTGGTCTCAACATTTTCCTCATCTCCTCTCTTATACCACGTAGCCAAATTTTATTGTGTTTACTTCAACAACACTTCTAGTATCCATTGCCTTCTCACTATTCACAAAACCATTACCTTAACTGGGGCTCTCATCACCTCTAAGAGCCCCCTAATTGGTCTCCTGCCTTGTCTCTCCTCATGCTAATCCATCATCCACACAGCTGCCAAAGTGCAGGTCTTACCATGTCATTGCCCTGCTCATTAAACTCCAGTGACTCCATATCACTTCTAGGAAAAAATAAGAACTCCTCTGTTTGACCTATGAAGCTCTTTACAACTTGATTCCAGTATACCTTTCCAGCCTCTTTATACATTTCTCCCCATCCTACAGTATTCAGTCTAACCACACTGGCTTTCTTGCTGTTTCTTACAATACTCTATGTCCCATCTTTGTGGAACTAACTGTCCCACTTGCCTGGAATATACTTCTCCCTGTGCTTCATAGAATACGTTGTTTTCTTCAAGACTCAGCTCAGGCATCTCCTTCTACATAAATATTTTGCTGACACTCCCCTACCTACTCATTGACCTTTCTACTCAAATCAGCTTCCATTTATTTTGTATTTATTCTTTATTTATATGTACATATTATCTCATCCGATAGAATGTAAGCTCATTGAGGGCAGAAACTGTTCAAATTTTGTCTTTGTATCCCTAGAGCCTAAAATAGTTCCTGGCACATAATAGATGCCTTTTATTAATGCTTGTTGATTGCTTGGTTATTTTGTCCATCCTTTCAGGGAATGTGTTTTATTATAGTTAATGTACTTAATTTTTTGAAGTTGTGCAGTTCCCCTTCAACCCCATGTGACTGTTATTTATTGTGAAAATTAATGATCTTAAAAATTTTCCTTTCATGCTTTTACATACATCCACATTCATCTGTTATCTGTATTTGCCTTTTAAGGTTCATTATAATTTTCTTTTATAAATGTGCCTATTTTGTAAAAATTTGGCATGGGGACAAATAATAGGTTGCATTAAATTGTCTTATGGTCTTTTGCATATGATAACTGTTATCTTGTTGCTTCAACAGCTACCTCCCCTCGTGTTTCTTCAGAGCTGGAACAGGCCCGACCTCAGACAAGTGGAGAAGAGGAACTTCAGCTACAGCTTGCATTAGCAATGAGCAGAGAAGTTGCAGAGCAGGTCAGTTATCTGGGTAGCTTTTTATTTATGCAGCAGGCCTGTCAGAATCATCCTAAAGCTTTTATTAAGTGCTTTTTGAGCACATTACAAATGTATCCTGGAGAGTATAAGATTACAAAGGAAGGAGCCGACACGGCTTGTGAACTGAAGGAGTTTTAGGATTTTGTTTTTTATGGCCTGGTTTCTATTTGCCATGAGTTCATATCTCCCACAGCCCCACTGTATGGGAATTGTTTGGAGAGGAGGTGGCATTTAGGTGAGAATTGTGAGCAAGTGCTGAGAGAGGAAAGGCAAAAAGCGTTCAAAACCATGTTTCAGAAACATTGTTACAAAAATTACTGACTTTTAAAAAGATAACACTTTTTCTCTCAAAAAAATAAGCTCTCCTATAAAAGGGTAGATTTTCAAGGGAATTAGAGGGTAGCCCCATTAAATGATTCATTCTTTATTCAGCTAGATTGATTACAGATATTAGGTATATTTCACCAAGCCTGCATTTTAAGATAGTTATAGCATTAATACTGTCTCTGACTACCACATTCTAAATGAGTGCTGTTCAATGTATTGGTCATTAGATAGGCACCCGAGAATGCTTATGGCATCACATCAGCACTTACTAGTTTTCCTTAAGAGAGATTCTTTCCTTATTTAGTTGATCCTAGCCAGAAAGCTTTTCAGCTATATCTGAGAATAAGCTCTATCAAATAGGGCATAGGGTCTGTGTGGGGAAGTTAGGTGGAGCAGGGGTGAGGAGTAAGGGTACAAAAGGAATGGCAAGAAGATGCCAAAAACAAACTTAACCTGTTTTATTATTTTTGGGGGGGAGTGGGGCTAGGCAGTGGGGTTAAGTGACTTGCCTAGGGTCACATAGCTAGTAAGTGTGAAGTGTCTGAGGCTAGATTTCAGCTCGGGTCCTCCTGACTCCAGATTGGAGCTCTATCCACTGCGCCACCTAACTGCCCCCTAAACTTAATCTATTTTAGTATTCTCTAGAGCTGTCCCTGAACTAATGGAATCAAAGTCACTGATGATAGATTGGTGTATCACAATGATCATCCAAGCTTCTTTTTTAAAACATAATTCTATGGGGCAAAAAACCATGGTCCTTATTACCTCTTTCAAAAGAAATGTCACTTTTTTCTAATTTTTATTTTAAAATAATACACAAATGGAACTTCATAGGAATAACTAGGTTTTTTTTTTACCTTAAATGTTATTATTTCTTATTGTAATGAAATCAGTTCTAAATGCCCTTATCCATTTCAGGAAGAACGTCTCAGACGTGGAGATGATTTAAGGTTACAGATGGCCCTGGAAGAAAGTCGTAGAGACACTGTTAAAATTCCAAGAAAGAAAGAGGTAAAAATAACAGTAACAATACAATAATAATAATAAGGCTTGGAAAATCCTCTGCATACATTTTCGTTTGGTCCTGACATTTAGTTCAGTTACATAATTGTTTTCTAAAGTAACATGAATTTAGTATAGTGCATCAGGTTTTAGTAGAATTTCATTTTAGCTATTTGTAGTATTGTCTTAATTCAAGAAATATTTATCTACTGTAAGCAAGAATCAAATACTTGAATGGAGTTTGAGACTAGCAAAAGTTCTACCAGTGGAGGTTTTTGGGGTTATTTTTGTTTTCTTTCATTTGTTTTTTGGCTTGTTTGGTCTAAAAGCATTGCTTCCCCTCCCCCATAGCATAATACTCTGTTGGATTTGATGGATGCCCTACCCAACTCAGCTGCTGCCCCTCAGAAAGAAGAACCATGGGGAACATCAACTGTAACTAACCAAACTGACCCCTGGGGAGGAACTGCAACTACATCTGCTACTTCTGACCCTTGGCAATCATTTGGTAAAAATTCCTTTATCCATATTTAATAATTGTACCCTAAAAAGGGCTTGGTTTGTTGATAGCTTATTTTTAGCTCTTATTTCATAATTGGCTTAGTTTGTTCATGATCTTTTTTAAGGCAGTTGGGGTTAAGTGACTTGCCCAGGGTCACACAGCTAGTAGGTGTCAAGTGTTTGGTCTGAGGCTGGATTTGAACTCAGGTCCTCCTGACTTCAGGGCCGGTGCTCCATCCACTGTGGCACCTAGCTGCCCCTATTCATGATTTCTTAACTGGCTTAGTGGTTCATGATTAATATTTTGGAAATGATCTAATCAGTTACTGTGAAATAAAGAAAAACTAGTGATGTTGACTGTAATTTTCAAAACTCATATCTTTACATTTTGAATGGGCTTCTTTTAATTATTTATATACTACACGTGGAAGGAAGTGGTGGCTTAGTCTATAATTCTTTTCCACAGTTTCACTCCTGTTTCATCTATCTCAGTTGTTTCAACCAGCAGTTTAGATTAAAAAACTGTAATAACACTAGGCATCTGAATCGTTGCTATAGTTTGCTGAAAATCGCAAAGTTAATGTTATTTATTAATGAGTAGGGGCATATTAACTCTAATTATTCCTTACTGTTAAAAGCAATAGTTGATTGGTTTAATTGGTTTAAAAAGTTATTTTTAAATTCTGTTTCAGAAGTAGCTTTGCAGTTGGCTGTGGCTATTTAACATCAAATTTAGTATATTTGAACCTCATAAAGGTAAACATTTGTTTTCTAGTATTTTCTTTACAAGCTGTACAGTTCTTAGCAACACTCTTTTTTCCATTTTGTCTTTGATGATCATTATCATCATCAGACTCTTCTCAGATGTTTCTCATTCACTATAGAAATTATATTACCTGACTTTTCTGTTTCAGATAAAATCAATGAATGAAGTTTATTTCATACCAGGTTACCCCACTTCAGGATGCTTATTTATACTCAACCCCAAAAGAGTAGAACACACAGTGTAGTTGAACTCTCATTCCCCCTCATGACAGGTGTTCTCTTGGATTCAGAGCTAACCCCAGACTTGTTATTTTTTTTTTGCACAGCCTCTGTATTTAAATAGAAAATTTACAAGAATAATTTCCCATGATTTATACATAGTATGGTATGATTCGTTGTACTATATTTAGGTATGTGTGGCAGTACTATGAAGTTATTAGCTGTGTTTTTGATCTACCCTAAAATGAAAGTAGCATCTTTTCTTGACAAGTAGCCTCCCGACCTGAATGCTATTATTCAGTTTTAAACAGGAAAAGTGTTTTGTTGTTGTTGTTGTTGACAGAGTGCATCAAGATCAAACTTAAATAAAATTTTTGAAAGGATTATTAAGTAGTTTGTAAGCACCAAAGCAAAGAGAAGTGGGGATCACTACACACCAGCATGGGTACACTAAGAATAAGACATGATAACCTAACCTAATTTCTTCTTTTGATAATAGTTACTGAACTAGACAAGTCAGTAAGCATTATTTAGAAGAATAAGAAAAGAAAACATTTGTATTGTACATACCTATGTGCCAGCCACTGTGCTAAGAGCTTTTGATAAATATCTTCAGAATAACCCTGCAAAGTAGGTGCTACTGTTATTCTCATTTTACAGTTGACAAAGTGGAGGCAAACGTATTAAGTGATTTGCCCTGGGTCAGAGCTAGTAAGTGTGTAAGGCCAAATTTGAACTCAAGTCTTCCTGACCTCAGGCCCAGTGTTATGTCTACTGATCCACTAGGTGTTTCTGGATAAATTAGATTTTAATTTCAACAAAATACTTGACTAAATTTCTCATCATGTCCTTGTGGATGCAGTGAAGACAGCTATGAACATAGTTCATTTAGCTGATTTAACACCCGTACCCAGATATTAATGATCATTGTCAACTTGTAGGTGAAGCTGAGTCAACAAGCATTTATTAAGTACTTTCTATGTCCTAGACTGGACTAAGTGCTGGAGATACAAAGGAAGGCAGAAAAACATTCCCTGCTCTCAAGAGCTCACATTCTAATGAGGGACACAGCACATACACAATTGTACAAACAAGATATATACAAGATAATTTTGAGATAATCTCAAAAGGAAGTTACTAAGCTTCAGGAGGACCAAAAAAGACTTCTTACTGAAGGTGGTACTTAATGAAACTTGAAGGAAGCCAGGGAAGCCAGGAGATGGTTAAGAAGAGGGGGACAGCCAGTGTAAATGCCCAGAATTGGGAGATGGATGTCTTGTGTAAAGAAGAGCAAGAAGGCCAGTGTCACTGAATCAAAAAGTATGTAAGGGGAGAGGATGGTGTAAGAAGAACTAGAAAAGTGAGAAGGGGCAAGGTTATTAAGGACTTTAAAAGCCAAACACAAGATTTTCTGTTTGATCATAGAGATAATACAAAGGTCTCTAATGGCACAACATAGAATTTTGTCTTTGAGCGTGGACTGTTCACTCATTTTTATTACCAGTTTGGATAAAGGTCTAGAAAGCTATATGTTACGTTTGTAGATAACATAAACCTGGGAGGAATAGCTGATTTGTGTATGTATATATCTGTATACGTGTGTGTGTGTGTGTCTGTCTGTCTGTCTGTGTCTGTGTATGTGACAGAAGTGAGATTCAGGAATATCTTGACAGGCTAGAACTAGAGGCTCAAACTAACATATTTTTATAGGGATCGATGTAAAGTTGTAAAACAATTATGTAAAGGAAAAGCAATAGCGCAAGTATAAATTGAAAGAACCCTCATTTGATAGTTCATGTAAAAAAGACCTGGGGAGTTTAGTTGACTATAAGTTAATTATGAATCAGCAGTATGCTATGACTGCTAATAAAATTCATGCAACTTGGTATATGTGTAATGCAAAGAGCATTGCACAAGTAGTTGCAGTACCTGAGTTCTAGTCCCAGCAACATCTCTTACTAGCCATGTGGGAAGTTCTCAGTGTCTCTGAACCGCAGTTTCCCATGAATACAATGGAAATGAAAATGCCATAAGAAAGAACTTGTTAACGGAACTATAGTCACAAAGTGGACTGCCTTGCAAAATAGTTAGCTCTCTCCCAGTCAGTAGAAATATTCCAGCAGAAATTAGATGCCCCTGTCAGGTGTACTGAGGAGGAAAATCCTACATAAGGCATACATTAAATTATTGCTTTCAAGTACTAAAATTCTGTGATTTCATTAAATTTCATTTGTAGCTGCAGGAAGCACCAGTGATCTATTTTCTCAGGAGTGTGTGCCTAAGAGAGCAGATTTTGTTTTTTTGGAACTTTCTTTTTCAGTTAAAAAAAAAATTATCATCTCCCGCTCCTACCATGCCCCGCCATTAGGAAAAGAAAAAAAAGAAAAAACCCAAAACCTTTGTAATAAATATGTATAGTCAAGCAAAAACAAATCCCTACATTAGCCATGTCCAAGAAAAAATGTCTCATTCTTTATCTTGAATCCGTCACTTTTCTGTCAGGTATAGCATTCTTCACTTTTGGTGTTTTGGAATAGTGGTTGGTCATTGTTTTTGTCACTTCTTAAGTCTTTCAAAATGGTTTGTCTTTACAGTGTTGCTGTTATTATAGAAATAGTTCTCCTAGTCCTGCTCACTTAACCCCATGTCAGTACATGCATATTCCTAGGTCTCTGAAGCCATCTCTAGCATAATTTCTTATGGGACAATAGTGTTTCACTACATTTAGCTATTCCCTAATTGATGAGAACTTTTAGCTTCCAGCTTTCCAGCTCCAAGAATTTTCCAGAATAGCAGTAAAATAAATAAGAGAAAGGATAAAAGAAATGATAGAAATAAGAGCTTTCAAGGAAGAAATCAGTCAGTGTAGCAAGAAGGTAGATAATTTAAAACAAGGACAGACATTATCCAAAACAGTAGATTCTGTGGGGGGGAAAGAATTGACAGAACAGAAATATAAAAATACGGAGGCAGAAAGAAAATTAATGGGACAAAATTAGTGTCAGGCAGGGATGGCCTGTGGCAGTATGGCTACAGGCTGTGTGAAGAAAGCACCAAGAGGGTGGTCTCTAGAGGAGAGTCCACATGGTATAGGGGTTAGAGTTTTGGATCTTGACTCATGAGACCTAGGTTTAAATCTCCTCTCTGATATTTACTAGCTATATTATCATGGACAAAGCAGTAAATTTTTCAGAGCCTTATTTTTCTCATCTATATAACAGGGATAATAATACTTGTCTTACCTACTTCACATAACTGTTTTGAGGAAAACACTTTGTAAACCTTAAAACATTATATAATTATGAGTTATTATTAGTGAAATGTCATATGTCTATTGTAATGACCCTACTTGCTTCGCTATCCCTCTAAACAAAGACGTCTGGGGGAAGCTCAAAAAACCTTGCTAGGGAAGGTGAGTCACCCTGACAGAATAAAATCAGTAGCAGTCTCCCAGCCTTTTCCTGCCAAGGCAGAGGTTGAATATCAACTAACTTCCAATTTCCTAGAAGTCTTTCCTCACCCCACCAGCATGACTCATGAAGTACCATTTCTCAAGTCCAAACTCCTCACTCCCTTGCTTGAGATGTCTGGTACTGCCTAGACCCAGATAAGAGCTCTTTAGAAAATTAGACTTTACTAGCTGGGGAGAGGATGCCCCATTTCCCCCAAGAAGCCAGCTGGTTTCCGCTAGAGGGCCCAGCAGAGGAGAACAGATTACTTTTAATTAAAGGTACACTAAGTCACCAGTCACCAGTGTTTACTGCTGAAGATGTAGCCACACGTGCCTAGCAAAAATAGTGTACTTCTTATCTAGTTATTTTATGCTTTGCACAGTACAAAGTAATTAACCTTCACTTAATTGTTGAGCACCCTCATGAAAGTCCATCCTTAATTCTGATCAGTTTTATAATGTATATAGCAACTTATATTTTCAAATGCTTTCACATTTTAAAACTCTGATTTAAACATTATGTCAAGCAAGCACTTATTAAATTACTGTGTGTCCTCCACTGAGCTAGGGAT